TTAAAGACAAACCATACATAGAAGCATTCGAAAAAATGAAAATCTTGATTACATCCGATCCCATTCTAATTTACCCCGACTTTAATAAGTCATTCTCTTTGACAACAGACGCAAGCAACATGGCGATAGGAGCAGTATTATCTCAAAATCATAAACCCATTTGTTATGCCAGCAGAACCCTTAACGAACACGAAATAAATTATTCCACCATAGAAAAAGAACTCTTAGCAATTGTATGGGCCACCAAATACTTCAGGTCATATTTATTCGGCAGACCTTTTGAAATATTAAGTGATCACAAACCTTTAGTTTGGTTAAACAATATTAAAGAACCGAATATGAAATTACAAAGATGGAAGATAAAACTAAATGAATACGATTATCAAATAAAATATTTGCCAGGGAAAGAGAATTATGTAGCCGACGCACTATCTAGAACCAAAATAGAAGAAATTATGTACACAGAAAATTCTGAAGAAAACGTACCAGAAGAAACTGCTAGTAACGCAGACGCAACAGCGCATAGTGCCCAAGAAGATAACCAAAACTACATTTCTATAACTGAAAGACCATTTAACTACTTCTCCCGACAGATCGAACTAATTAAAGGAAATGAAGATACAACAGAAATAACACACTATTTCCATAAATTAAAAATCAAAATTATTTATAAAGAAATGACGGAAACATCAGCGAAGGAAATAATTAAAGAATATTTATGCACAAAAAAGAGCGCAGTTTATTTCCATAATGACTCAGATTTCCTCACATTCCAAAAAGCCTACGTAGAAATCATAAATACAAACCATTTAACAAAATTAGTAAGATGTACAGCTAGACTCGAAGACATATTGACATATACAGACTTTAAAGAAACAATTTTGAAAAAACATAAAAAATTATTACATCCAGGAATCGAAAAAACTACCAAGTGGTTTAGAGAAAAATATTATTTCCCTGATTATCAAAAGTTAATTCAAAATATAATAAATGAATGTGAAATTTGTAACATCGCTAAAACAGAACATAGAAATACTAAACTGACATTTGAACTTACCCCAGAAATTCAAAATATAAGAGAAAAATTTGTTATGGATTTTTACATGGTAGGTAACCAACAATTTTTATCATGTATCGATGTATATTCAAAGTTTGCTACCCTAGTAGAAGTCAAAGGTAGAGACTGGTTAGAAGCCAAAAGAGCTATTATGAAAGTATTCAATGAAATGGGAAAACCACAAGAAATCAAAGCAGATAAAGATTCAGCATTCATGTGTGTAGCCTTACACAACTGGTTAAACTCAGAAGGAGTACAAATTCAAGTAACAACAAGTAAAAATGGTATTTCAGACATAGAAAGATTTCATAAAACAGTAAATGAAAAATTAAGAATTATAGGAAGCGAATCAGACATTGAAAACAGATACACTAAGTTCGAATTAATCCTTTTCATTTACAATCACAAAACAAAACATAATGCTACAAATCAAATACCAGCTGACATATTTATGTATGCAGGAACTCCTGATTACGATACACAAGAAAAGAAAATGAATAGAATCGAAAAATTAAACGAGAAACGTCAGGACTATGAAATAGATCCAAAATACAAACAAGCTCCTCTAGTGAAATCCAAGACTACAAATCCATTTAAAAAGACAGGAACCTTGAAGAAGGTAGATGAAAAACATTTTGAAGAAACGAATAGAGGAAGAAAGATTGTTCATTATAAATCAAAATTCAAAAAGAAGAAGAAAATTAATAAAAGTAAATATGATGATAATTCCAGGCAAACAGATGGAAATGAACGGACTCAGGAACAACTCGGTGAAAACAATAATTTTCTCTATAATATTAGCAACTGTAATTCAACTGACAATTGGACAAAGTATTGAAATAAATCCCATAAAGGCACAAAATGGATATCTTGTATTTAAAACAGGATCAATCGAAATCCCAACTAATTATGAATACCATTACTTAAGCGTAAATATAACAAAAACCGAACAAACATTTGAAGAGCTTTTAAAAGAAGCCGATGAATTCAATGATGTTATCCAAATCAGATATTTAGTAGAAAAACTTAAAAGAGAAATCAATGGAATTACAATAGCAAAACGTAGTAAGAGAGGTCTATTCAATATCGTAGGAACAGTTTACAAATATTTATTTGGAACCTTAGATCAGGATGATAAAGATGATATGGAACAGAAAATCAATAATTTAGTAGATACTAGCGTTCAAAATACAGATTTAAATATGATTATCGATGTCATAAATAATGGAATCGAAATAATTAACAAATTAAAAGAAAAAGGAGAAAGAGAGCAACAAGTCAACGTTTTAATATTTAACTTACAACACTTTACAGAATATGTAGAAGATATCGAATTAGGAATGCAAATGACAAGATTGGGACTATTTAATCCAAAATTACTAAAACACGATTATTTGAAAAACATGAACCCTGAGAAATTGTTGAGAATCAAAACATCAACTTGGCTTAAAACAGACACAAATGAAATTTTGATTATTTCCCATATTCCTTCAGAGATAGTCAAATCTCCCGTTTTTGAAATTATTCCTTATCCCGATGAAAATAACAATATTTTAACAGAAAATATACTGGATAAATATTTCATTTATGAAGATAAATTATTTAATAAAGAAACAGGAAAAATAGTAACTGATGATTGTATAAATGGAATAATTAGACAGGAAAACACTGAATGCAAATATACGAAAACTTACAAAAATTTCCAAATTAATTTTGTTGAACCCAATATTTTATTGACATGGAATATCCCTAAAACATTGCTGAATCAAAATTGCATTAATAAAGAAATTTCTATAGTCGGAAGTAACCTCATTAAAATCCTTAATTGTTCAGTACAATTAGATGAATACACTCTTTCAAATTCAATGTTAGATTATACACAGAGTGTTTACATAAACAATAATGTAACAAAATTAGAACCATTGTCTTATATTCAAACAAAAGAGATAATAGAATCACATACAAAATATTATAATGTATTTCAAACTATTACTTTAACAACCTTTGTAATCATTATTATAAGCATTTTATTGTATTTATGGTATAAATTTAAGAACATACCAAGAAAACTTATTGTAAAATATATAAAACCAAAGGAAGAAACACCAAAAAGCACAGAAATTGTAAACGATCTACCCAACCAAATTAACATAGAAGAAAATATAATGTTATACCCAAGATTATCGACCTGAGGACAGGCCAAATTCAACGGATGGGGGAGTGACATATCCATAGTACCACATACTCCTATGTACATGTCCACACACCCACACATACATACATACACACATTATGCAGTCACCCTCAAGACACCCTTTAAGAAATAAGAATCCAGATTTAATTGTAAACAAGCTAATGGAAAATTACCGAACTAACAGCAAGCCAGAGGAAATTTCCATGAAATAAAAAACCAAACTCGATAGACTAAACAATTGGAACGAGCCGCTGTTCAGACTATCGGCACGCTCCCACGAATCAGGATACTCAGATTTCGGGACCCAAGTCTGGAGTCCAAAGTCTAAATTTAAAGAATCACTCAATTGCAATAGATCCCACTCAAAGAAAGCTCTAAAGCTTAAAACCGAGGTATGATCGTAAGTGAAGTAGGAGTTAGAGAATGAGTTCAGTTTGAGACTTATAAACAGTAGGTCGGTGTTCTTCCAAAATATTGTAACCAGTGTAAAAGTAAAAATTAAATAAAGATTTTTTTTAATACACTTATGGTGCAAATCTTTAATTATATAGGCTATGTGGGTACGTGGCTGAGTTGCCGCAAACGAGGTCACTGCTTTGGGACAAAAGTTGTCAACTTGAAAATTACACATTCTGGAAATCTGCAAAAATGCGAGCGTACAAATGTGCAAATGCATGGGGGCGTGGCCAAAGCCAACATATCTTTGGCTTTCGCCCTGCACAGCAGCCAACTGCACAACTGTTGCCTTTATTTCGGCTTATCAGCCTGTGAAATGCGCCATTCAAATGCAAATGCGCAGCGTAATTAAAAATGTGCATTCCTCTCGGCCCGCCCGAGCCAATTTAAATATGTGTAAGCAAACACATACATATATGTTTGTGCATATATATATATATGGGGGAAATTTAATTAGTTGGGACCTTCGGGTCCGCAGGGCTGCTGGCCATAAAAATAATAATGCAGAAAATGAAGTCGGGTCGGGAAAAGTGTTTAAGGCTGAAATGCGAAACGAATCCCAGCGCCACCCCGGCCCTTTGTTGGTTTCCTTTCGTCGCCGTTGGTTTCCGCAAATCGCTTTAAGCCACACCATTCATTGACTCTAACTGAGAGCGCTTTCCACCTGAAAGGGCTCTTGTAAATATTCAATTTCACACGTTCTATCAGCGCACCACCCTGGGGTACCCGCAAACTGAAACCCCTCGAAAACCGCCGTCCACTGTTGGCCAACCGACAAGCCATCTAGCAGCTGTCAGCCAGTTGGGGCGCAAAAATCGGCTCGGCTCGGCACAGCCGGCAAATAAAGTCGCACATATTTTCAAATAAAGCTGCCGTTATCACAAATTGACAGCAAAGTATTGTGCGGCCAACTACTTTGCCCAGCGTGGGATGTGGGTTGGTTGGTTGGTTGGTTGGTTAGTGGGTTGGTTGGTGGAACCCACCAGCGTTCGTGGCCTGGCCGGTTGTTTGGGTTAGGGCTTGTTCCCAAAATGGCCAAATGGCTTTATGCGGTCAACGGAAGCTTCCGCTTCCGGTTACACATTCACGTACACAGCTCGAAAGTACCCTGCGGTCGGCTGTCACTGCGATGATTGCGCTGCACAAACACAGACAGCTTTGGAAAACTAATAAACCCTCTATGCGAACGGAGGCATTGGCCCATACCGATGCGCTTTATTTAACAATATTAAACAGCCAATATGCCTCTGGCAATTTCCGCAATCGTATTGCCTTTGTTCGCCCTGTCATATCGGCCAAGTAATATTCAAACACATTTTGAATGTCGCTCGATAAGCAAACACTCAAAATTCCAAAAATCACAAGCCCAGGGCGTCGCCATCAACTGTTTTTAATCTTTGCTTCCAACTCAGATCGGGAAATAATCGCACTATTTGCATAGATTCGGAGATGGACGGAGGAGGGGACAACCAGCTGGCGGCAAGATCCTTTTGGAGAGACGCGTTTAACTACTTCGAAGGAGTTCCTGCCCACAATTATACACCTCCTGATCCTGCGCAAGGTGAAGCAAATGCAGATGCCTTGCATGTGGCCCTACATGCCCTGTTCTTATCTGAACTGTCTGACGATTCGGGTTTCGAGTCTGGAAGTGAGAGTGACTAAAAGAAAATGGCTTGAAGAAGATCCTTAGAAAAAGAGTAAATTTGTACTTCTGTAAATTCATAACTCTGCAAAGAATATCTGTCTCAATCGTTAGAATAAACATAACTATATAATGTCATATTACCACCGTTATTTTTAACTATATTTCATTAGGCACATATTTATTTAATGGCATTTAATATTAACTAAATAAAAATTTACCTTAGATGAGGCAACTCCTTTGTCTGTGAACAAAACTACGCTTTACTACGTTTAAAGCAAGAGCATTTGGAAGAGGTATACGTTGCCAAGGATTTGTTGATATGCAGAAGCTTTAGTTACCTTGGTGTGGAGAAGCTTATATATCCACTGATGAAAAATAAACTTCAATTAATTATTTATGCTATCTTACCTTCTCGAATAGGCTTTAATTCCACTGAAATAAAGTAGACACTGACGCCATGTTTTGAAATGCCTTAATTGGTTTCGGTTTATTCATGTCGATCTGATTTCAATTTGATTTCAAACATAAATTCCATTTAAACACAGGGATGCTCGGGCATCTATCTGTGTGTGAGTTTGTAGATTAGTTGAGAGTTGTAGTTACATTTATTTTACACATACATAAATACGCATATTTGTTTACATTTTTAAAACGCTCGTCCAAGATGAATATTTTCTATTATTTTCTATTTTTTCTTTGAATTTATTATATGCCCTTCTGTTTGCGCTTCTCCCGTGGACAATCAATAATAAATATTTATGTTTTTTGCATGTGTGTTCGCTCGGTATATATGTGTGTGTACGTATATTTTGCATTTTGATTTCATAGTTTTATATGTTCTATATAGTAGAGTTCGACCTCGCTTGCAAAAAAACTCGATCGAACCTTTTTGATTTCCCTTATAATCGAAATTGTTTTCTACTTTTCAAGTATATTCCGCTTAATTTAACCCCTTCCTTATCACGCCTAAACTTGCTTTGAAATAAATGCTGTCTTTGCCACCAGAAACATAATCAAATACATTTTCGGAAATCGCTGTAAATTTTGAATTCACTGAATCTATACGAGAGTTTCTAAGTATATGTTTAAATACAATTAGGGGTTATGCCTTAAAATGTTATAACTACTCGATATGGTGTCTTTCTTTGCCAAGTTCAGCTTTGTTAAAACAACTTCCATACACACTACATCGCCTTTTGTTTCGTAGATTACGTATAGGTAAATTTCTAAAGAAGCGCGAAACAATAACAGTTCATGCATGCAAATGAGAAATACCTTGTTTGCTTTTAATATCAAAATTAAAATATTACACACGTTTGTTCATTATTTGTCATTGTTCAGTTTTTTCCGTTATAGATTTTAGTTGCCTATATTTGTAAAAGTTTTTTCGTTTTGCTTTCTTTTGTTTAATGCATTGAAAACTCTACACGCTTTTGTCTCAGTCGGGAAATAATCTTTAAACTGATCCAACTGAACCCAGTACACACATAAATAGGTATAGATATAGGTATAGATATAGATATATGTATATATATATAATTTTGTTGTGGTACATCTATAAATTCATTACGATTGCTACTGCTGTATACATTTAATGGTTTCTTGTTGGGCTTTGACTTCGATCAACTACATTGTGGAGAGAGATGGATTCAGAATCTTATAAAATGCATAAACATTCAGCTTAAATCTAGACTGTGCCTCATCTGCGACATCTGCGTCCTTCCTCTCTCTTCTGTGGTCGTTTTAGATCAATATATATATAGAGTTTTACACGAATATATGTAATATATGTTTGCTGATAGGTTTCGTTTTTAGAGAGTGCTCGGGGCACTCGTGATAGGGAGGGCTTTACACTGAAATCCATACAATTTATATTGAGTTGAGTTAGTTGAGACCTTGACATGCAATATGAGATTGAGCGCGAGCTTCATTCGATTCGATTCGATTCCTATGGCTGGCTGCAGTAGTGGCTTCGGTTTCAAAATTTAAATCACGATTCGATCTATTCGAAAACATGCCACACCTCCCGCCCAAAGCACGCCGCAGGGGCGTGGCAGCTGGCACCCGGCACCCGTCACCTGGCTTCCTCTTCGCCAACTTACAGCACAAACCCGTAACCTCAGTAACCAGTCGCATCGAATAGATCCGGCAGAACCAGCGGTGGGCAATTGTGCGGACTGCAGGTGACGCTCGGCATCTCGTCGGGTGTCACGGCATCCGTGCAAATGCACTGCAGACAGTTGCCCGTATCCTGTGGCAGAATGTCGCCAATTTTATACAGCTTGCCTGCAACAACAGCAACGGAAGCAAGTTCGATTTGCAGTTTAAATGGGATTAGGATGTGAGCAATTGTGACGAGCAGTAATAAAATACGGGGGTGAAGGGCGTTCCCCCTTTGTTACACAGAGAAATAAATTTGACAGTTTTGGCTTCGCATTTTTCAGTGAATAAAAAGATCCTATAGAAAGTACGCAAGCTCTAAAAAATTAAGTTTTAAGCCACACCAAAAATACCAAAGACAAATTAGAAAAGTTATTTAATCCTTGGTGAAATAAAAAAAAGGACGGGACAGCTTAAAAATACACAGATAGAAATATTTACGTATATTGTTCTTGAATTGGGAACATTCGTTCTTAAAAAAGTGTGACCGTTTTCTTTATTAGAACAAAATGGTGAGAAGAGCAAAGTTAAATTGAGATTATTTAAGAAGAGATTGAAAGAAAATGAAAACATTGAAAACAACTTCAAAAATGCCGTTCTATATTTTAAGAACAGTTTCATCTCATATGAGAACGTCAGAATACTCTCTGTTACTATGTTTATGCTATGAATTTCATGCATTCTCCAACTCATGATACTATAATAGCCCCTGTTTATACAACACAGACAAATTCATGAAATGATATTAGTTAAGCTGTCACTTTTTTTGAAATTGATATATAGCTCTATAGAGAATAGGCTGTGAAGTAGGCTGTGCCTCAGCATTTGGTACATTGGGATTCAAAAATATATACTAAAACATCTTCCAAAAAATGATCTTAAGTCCATTTAGAGTATTTAAAATGTAATAACACAAGATTGATTGGTCAAATATTAATTAGAGTACATAACAGATGGAACCAATTATGAAAATATTGGTTTCCCCAGAAGCACCTTTGGATATTTATTTCTCTGTGTAGCAATAGCAATAATCCCTTCGGACCTCCGCCGACTGCTTGCTTACCCAAAACATTGCACATACGCCCTGGTGCCAGCGGCGTTGTTGTTATAATCGTTGTCAGGGTGTACGGCGGAACAACAGGGCTCTGCTGAGGTTGATCCTGATTGCTGCCGCTGCTCCCGATGGTCCCGATGCTCCTGGGTGCCTGTGGGTCCATTGTTGTCCCTGCTGCTCCATCGTTGCCATAGATGTTGGTTTTGCTGGTTCTGCTGCTGTTGCTGTTGCCATTGTCGTTAACGCCTGACGTTCTGTTGCCATTTGCAATTAAATCCGTTTGGCGACGGGGATGCACATCAACTGCAGTTAGTGTAATGTCAATATTGACAACGCTCCCATTGAATTCACTGCTGTAATCGTTGTACGAGCTGCGAAAGAAGACGGCATCGCCGGCATTGTCTTTGCTGCCACTGCTGCTCCTGTCACTCTTGTTGGCCGTGCCAACATCATCGATTATTGTCGATGCCGGCGTTTCCTGCTCCAAGTTGTCGTCGAGCGAGTTTGTGTTGTCAGCATTCAGTTCGGTGGATGTCAGCCATCGATGGAAGGCGTCATCGGGCTCCGCATCGGGTCCACTGCGATCATGTTGCAGCTGTCCGGGTTTGGGGCGAAAATAAAACACAGACTGTTAATTCGACTTGACTGCATAGTAAATAATAAAGGAGTTCGAGCATGAAAAACCCCATTAGGGGAAGCGTTTCAGGCTCACTGGACACGCCGAAAGTGCAAAGTTCAGGCTTCTCCGCTGGGGCAGCCAATGAAGTGGCAGTGGCTCAGAGCCTAATTGGGTAAGCCTCCCGCAGGCTCTTCAAAGCCCACACGAAAACCGAAAGGAATGAGGGGAAAGAAGAGCTACGTAAGTAGTTTCGGAACTCGAATACTGGAATACCCTGAACCTCTGACCATTACAAGATTTTAGATCTATAATGAAAATGAAAAACGCGAATTCTTCAGGATTATTAAAAGCACATTAGCACATTGAAACCGATTTATGATGAGTTATAAATCGCAAATATAGAATAGAATAAGTATAATCTTTGTAGTGACTGTGGTTTTTATTTAAAATCCCACTGTTTTATATGTTTCTAAACTTCGAATCACTCTGGGAAAATGTTTCCCTTAGTGTTGATTCTTGCTGGGCTCTAACTTCTATACACTTACTTCTCAACTCACCCACTCCCATGGCCATTCAGACTGACCGCACTGACCAGAACTGACAAGTAAACAAGATGGTTTTTTTCATAATTCTCAAAAATGAATCATCATCCTGGCAACAAAAACCTTCTGAAATTTAAAAAGGAGGCAGATGGAGTGTCAAAGTAGCTCAAAGAATATAATTAGTAGTATAGCTTAACAGAAGTGGCTTTAACTTCATCCCTTAGACAGAGATAAATGTTATGTTTAAATTTTTAATCTGCACAGCCGGTTAGAAAGCTAGTTTTCCCAGTGCTTACATTTGATGGATACGATTTCCGCACTACTTTGCCCACTTTGCAAACGACTCTATGATACCTTCTGCCAGGCACAAAGCCCGGAGGCAAGGACCCTTCTCAAGCTGAACTGAGGCCCAAACTCACATTTGTGGCTGCAACTGTGGCCCCGGACTTTTCCATTCCAGACAGCGTGCTTGTCACCATTTCATTTGTTCCTGTCGCCGTTGTCGTTGTCGTTCTCGGTGTCGTTCTCGATGTCGTTGTCCTGGTCGCAGACGCAGACGCGGCTGTGGATGTGGATGTGGATGTGGCTGCCACAGTGGCAACTGGCCGGGTTGTCATCAACGCCTTGGCCGTGCTGCTGCTAGTTGGCCATTGTGTGGCAGATGCCCGGGGCTGCTTTGTAGGCGGCTCTGGCAAAATATCGCTGTCGGTTTCCGCCTCATCAAAGTTTTTATCAGCGGCGGCTGAGGGTTCTCCAGCTG